GCCGGGGCACTGCTTTACACTGAGGGCCACGGCGCTCGAATCAAACGATAACTCAGCTAACTAGACAGCACAATTCTCCTCCGAGGCTGTGGGCTGGCCTTGGGAAGGTGGAGAATTACTTGAGAACATAACGGCGACAATTGAAACGCTCATCATTCCCGTGCATCACTTCCATGATCGCTTTTTCTAGTCAATGACTTGCTTGGGGCAACACAGGACATCCGCCGGGGCACTGCTTTACACTGAGGCCACGCAGGAGGCCGCGAAGTCCCAACTGGGTTCGCGTACCACTCCACTCCGCGCGACATCCCAGGAACCCACGACAATTGCGCACATTGCGCACGTCGTAGCCACACAGAGAGCCGCGAGGTCCCAACCAAATTCTCGTACCACTCCAATCCGCGCGACATCCCAGGAGCCCGCGAACGTAGCGACAATCAGGCACTTCGCAACCCACCAGGGAGCCGCGAAGCCCCAACTGGGTCTGCGTACCACTCCACTCCGCGCGACACCCCAGGAACCCACGAACGTGGCGACACTTGCGCACTTCGCAGGCCACGCAGGAGGCCGCGAGGTCTCAACTGAGTCTGCGTAATTACAACTCCACTCCGCGCGGCATCCCAAAAACTCACAACAATGGCGACACTTGCGCACTTCGCAGCCCACCAGGGCACTGCGAAGTCCCAACTGGGCCTGCGTACCACCCCACTCGTCGCGACGTCCCAAGAGCCCATGAATGTGGCGACAATTGCGCACTTCGCAGGCATCGCAGGGGGCCGCGAGGTCCCAACTGGGCCTGCGTACCACGCCACTCCGCGCGACCTCCTAGGAGCCCACGCAAGTGGCGACACTTGCGCAATTCGCAGCCCACCAGGGAGCCGCGAAGCCCCAACTGGGTCTACATACAACTCCACTCCACACGACATCCAAAAAACACATGCGAAAGTGGCGACTCTTGCGCACTTCGCAGCCGCTCAGGGAGCCGCGCAATCCCAACCGGTTTTGCGTACCACCCCACTCCGCGCGACCTCCCAGGAACCCACGGAAGTGGCACCGTTGCACAATTCGCAACACGGCAAGGGGCCGCGAAACCCTAAGTGGGTCTGCGTATCACTCCACACCGCTGGGCCTTCCAGGAGCCCACGCATGGGGCCTGTGGTGGAACTCCCTATGGCGCCACGAAGCGTGTGAGGGGTGTGCCAACATGAGCGTGGCGGTCGCATGCGGGCGGTGGCAATCCCTATGGGGCCACGAACCGTGTGAAAGGTGTGCCCGCATAGGCGTGGCGGACGCACGCGGGCCGTGGCGTTGCGGCGGCTCTCGGTGGAGCTCCCTATGGGGCCACGAAGCGTGTCAAGGGTGTGCCGACATGGGTGTGGCGGACGCATGGTGGCGGTGGTCCTTACGGTGCCACAAAACGTTTCGAAAAGGGGGGGGTGACAGGGGCGTAGCGGGACGCATGCCGGCGGTGGCAGTGGGGCCCTCGGTGGGGCCATACGGGGCCACGAAACGTGCCAGGGGTGTGCCGACATCGGTGTGGCGGACGCGCGCAGGCGGTGGCACTGGGGTTTTCGGTGGAACTCCATATGGCGCCACGAAGCGTGTGACAGGTGTGACGACGTGGGTGTGGCGGACGCGTGCTGGCGGTGGCAGTGGGGCCTCCAATGGAGTTCTCAATGTGGCCACGATACGGGCGAGTGGCGTACCGAAATATTTGTCGATGGTAAATGCTGGCGGCGGCGACGATGATGGCGATAATGGTTCTGGCGGCGGCGATGATGATGGTGCGGATGTTGATGCTGATGATGACGGTGTTGATGCTGCTGGTGATGACAACGGCAACCTAAGCAAATACCCACAAACGCAAGATTGATGGCAACTGATAAGTACTAAAACGTTACAGTGCTTAGGTCGACGATGGTAACCTCTGAAACGCGTTCGCCTGCTCAGCTGCAAGCTTAATGTCAGTTTGTGAATACCAAAAACATGAGGGGCGCGCGATTAAGATGCAACATCCTCGTCGGTGTTTGGCGCCGACGTCCAGCCGACTGCAGGAGGGCGACAAACGCGTCGCAACCGGCGACGCTTCAGCGGAGGGGGGCAGCGAAACCTCCGATATAGCGTGCGCTTGGGTCAAACTGGCTACAGACAGGAAAGATAAAAGAGGCGGGGGAATGACGCGCCTCGGCTGGCGGGCGGTGCCGGCATGGCTTCAGACAAGCAACGGAAAAGACGGGGAGACGCGAAAGTAGCAGACGGAAAGGGCTCCCCCTTTTCTTTTTCCTCCTTTTCACCCCATCTACAACAACGGCTTACGACGACGCCGACGGCGAAGGGAAAAAGCGACGGCGGACGACGACGCACTGCGGATGCCCCATATGGGGGGACGGCGGGGGCGGGGGTGCTGTGCATGCCCACTGTAGACGTCGACGACGACGACGACGACGCGACGACGACGACGACGACGACGACGACGACGACGACGACGACGGACGACGATGAACTGCGGATGCCCTAGCTGCAGTCGGCAACGACGACGGCGACGATGACGACGAAGACGATGACGACGACGAGGGCGAGGACGAAGACGACGAGGCACTGCGGATGCGCGATGGGGGAGCGGGCATTCGTAGGACCGCTGTAGTCCACGACGACGGACGACGGAGGATGACGACGACGACGACGACGAGGACGAAGACGACGACGACAACGCGACAACTGCGGTTGCGACGACGACGCAGTGCGGATGCCCTGAAGGCGGGAAATGGTGCTGCTTAGGCCCGCTGTAGTCGACGACGACGACGACGACAACGAAAACTACAACGTCAACAACACGACGACGCCGACGACGACGACGATGCAATACGGATGCTCATTGGGGGGGGGAACGTGGTGCGTAGGCCCGGTCCCGCTGTAGTCGACGACGACGACGACGACAACGACGACGGCGACGGTAACCACGCCGACAATGACGACGACGACGATGATGACGGAGGACGACGACGACGACTGTGGCCCGTCAGTAATCAGCTTGAGACGGGGGAACAACTTCGCCTCGGATGCATCGAATCCCCGTCACAACTTCAAGACGAAAGGCGCTCGTTTTGAGACTGCCGCGCAGAAGGTATATGATCCCCTCGACGGCACCCGCGGCAACCCCATAGCACGCGCGATTGAAAAAAACGTTTCGCGCCCCGTGGGGCTTATTTCATCAGCCACCCAGGGGGGGCTTCATCTGTCAACCACAGGCTAACATTATAGAGATTAATAAGGACCTGTTCAACCAAACGACACATTTTGTTACGGCCCCGGGGCCCGGCAAGGGTCCCCGAAAGCCGGAAACGACCAAACCCTCCCGTCTTGATGTTTTCACGACCCGAAGCACGTCTGGGCCGGAGGGCAGCGCACTTAAAAAGCACATCGCTCGATGTCCGGGATGGAGGGCCCCAGGCCTCGAGGGTCGGGCCTCGAGGCGCCAGGGCGGCCCCCCCACCCCCCCCAAAAGAAAACAGGCGACCCAGCGGGAGGCCTGAGCCCAGACCACGACGACGATGGCGACGGCGACGACGCCGACGTTGACAGTGACCACGATGACGGCGACGACGACGACGGCGACCACGACGACGACGGCGGCGACGACGACGGCAACGACGACGGCGGCGGCGACGACGAACAAGCCTTGCAGGTCGATCGTTAGAGTACCGGGTGGGGGCAGGCCTCGGGCGGCTCAGGGATCGAAGAACTCGCGCTGGGGATGTTCCTTGGCACTGCCACCACCTTTATTTTGGCACTGCCGGCGCCTGCATCGGAGGCGACGTTAGGAAGCGATTGGCTCTCGGGCGGGGGGGTGCACTTTGAGGTACCATGGGGGACATGATCTAGAACGAGAACATACCGTAGATATATCTACCCATGCTCCAACCTCATACTGCGCCAGGAGCAGAGGCCGCGTTTTCAAGAGAAGAACCACCGTGATTGTGTCCATATACGTGGCGGAGCCCAACATCCAACGTATCGATGGACGCGTGTGACTAGAAGGTGAAAACGATATTTGGCAAAAGGCCCCAGACCGTGATCTGCTAAAGGCAGGTCGCCTTGTGCGGGAGGGGGATGTGCTTTTATCCACCGTTTGGGAACCGACGGCGGTGGATATGGATATGGGTATATATATACAAGGATATATATATAAATATGTTTGTATATATATATATATGTGTGTATATATATATATGTATACATGTGTAAATAGATGCGTGTACATATATATATATATATATATATACACATACCTATAGATATAACATGTGGATTCGCCCCTGATGGACAACAAATACCCATATCCACCGCCTTCGGAGGTCCGCGAACATCGATCCTCCAGGCAGTGGTTATGAATGAATCCCCGCCTCGAAACTTCGCCCTGCAAGTTGCATCGGCCCTTGGAAGCAGCCCATGGGTCTGGATTTGTTCAAAGTGAGCGTTTTTCGTTCGGCGTTTCGACATTGTGCGGAAAAAGGGGGGAGAGGGGGGGGGGGGGGCTCCGGACCTTTGCTTAATGCGACTGTTTGCGGCAGTGCGTCCATTAATCGGGGGAGGGGTCCACCTGTTCAAAGCAGGCGCCGAAAACGGCCAAGATCCACTCCAGTGGGGGGAGGGGGGGCGAGGGCCCGCGCCAATCGTAAAAACAAGGAATAAGAAAACGATCGCCATGACACACATCAACGCATCCTCCTCCTCGTGCTCCTCCTCGTGCTCCTCCTCGTGCTCCTCCTCGTGTTCCTCCTCGTGTTCCTCCTCGTGCTCCTCCTCGTGTTCCTCCTCGTGTTCCTCCTCGTGTTCCTCCTCGTGTTCCTCCTCGTGTTCCTCCTCGTGTTCCTCCTCGTGTTCCTCCTCCTCCTCCTCCTCCTCCTCCTCCTCCTCCTCCTCCTCCTCCTCCTCCTCCTCCTCCCAAGACCCTTCGGAAACGCGCGCGCGTTTCGCGCCGGCCGCCGCGGGGCGGGCGCCGCGGCAGCGAGGGCGGCGATGCCAGCGGACCAGCTGCGGCTCCAAGACCTGGCGGCCGAGGCGGCGGAAGCGCTAGCCTCCAGGTCCTCGGGGGGCGGGCCGAGGAGGAAAGCGGCGGCTGAGGAGGAGGAGGAGGAGGAGGAGGAGGAGGAGGAGGAGGAGGAGGAGGAGGAGGAGGACAAGGACAAGGACATTCGCATAAAGGGGGTGCAGCGTCAAAACACCGACGCTGGTGTTTTACGCACTTCTGCCAACATCCCCTGCGATTGGTTGTGCGACAACCCTGCCTTCTCGCTAGGGCCGGCACGGGGAATGCCACGTTGCTGACGGGCTGAGCTCCGAGATGGCCCCGTAAGGCAGCCTCACCACCCTGCGTTCACGAGTCCCTGCAGGTCAGCGCGGGGCGAACGGCTGCTGGCCGCTCCGCGTGCCCATGGGGAGGGGGCGAGCGGGCTTAGCCGTGCGCCCCAGCCAGGGGTGGGGAGACGACGACACGACCTCCCGAAAGGAGACGAAGGGGGAGGGGCGGGAGGCCCGTGACCCCGACCTGTTGCTTGCGGGGCCGCCTGCTCTACTGTTTTAATTCGATGTTCCCCTCTCCCGCTCGGCCCATTTCTCGGTCTGGCCAAGATGTTCCCATGCGCTGTCGCACCTGAACTCTGATCCCTGTTGTAGTACCCCGCCCATCCCCCTCGAAATTTATGTGGGGCAGAAACTACTGGTAGTCACTGTCTGTTGAAGGTGGGTCCATCGAGGAAGCACTTTGGTGGACTTCGTGATGATCACATGTGTTCTCCTTCGAAATCCTGCAGTAGTGTGCATGTCGGCACTCAGGAAAAATCCCATTGCGATGACAGTGCCAGTGCGAAAAACCCCGTGGTGCCCATCCTGTACGGCCCGAGATGCGCTCCGAGAAAAACTCGCTGACGCATATCATGGCTGCCTGTGGGCTTGTCCAGCTTGCCCAGAATTCGCCGGCCCAACGGGCCAGAGGCGTGCTAAGATCTCCGGTAACTGCTAAATGATACTTCTACTTCGCGCGCGCGGGGCGGCCCCTGGGGGTCCCCGGACGAAAAGTACCCTGGGCGATCCCCGGCAGACTCGAGTCAGAGATCGTTTTCCTCCTGGGCGCCGCCCCCGTGGCCCTCCAGAGAACCCCAAGAAGGGCCACGAGGCCGCCAAGAGCCCTCCAAGATGGTTCAAGAGTGCTCCGAGATGCCACACGATCGTTCCAAGACGCCCGAGATGGCCCCCGGACGCCCCAAGAGGCCTCCAAGAGCACTCCCCAGAGGGCTCCAAGAGGCAAGAATTCATTACTTCGCCCCAAGAGGGCCCAAGAAGCTCCCAAGAAGGCCCCCAGATGGCCCAAAAGGGCTCCAAGACGGCCCCGGAGGCATCCAAGACAGCCCAAGAGGGGCCCAAGAGGGCCCCAAGCGATGCCCCAAAGGGGTAACACAAAACAAAACTTCGAACCCTCGGCCTTAAGAAGCCCCCAGGACGCCTCAAGAGGCACCTGAGAGGCCCCCAAAGCCCCCAAAGAGGCCCTCAGGAGGCCCCCAAGCGACGCTGAAGAGGCCCCCCAGCGGCCCCAAGAGGCTCCGTCATGCGAAATGGGCCGGCGGAGTGAGCGAAGCGACTCAATAACATTCCGAGAGAACCTCGCGAATGCTTCTCTTGGCGTTCCAGGGGGCTCCAGTGGGCGCACTCACTGGTGGCCGCTGGATGAGCTGGCCGCAGTCGCCCCCTTCCGACTTGGGGTAGCCGAGCCTTGCCTCGAAGATCTCGGTGCCATCCAGCAAGGTATTCGTGCTGTCTCGTAGCTTCTGGCGCTCCTTGAGCCTCTTCACTTCCTCTGGGTAGAGATTGTCATCGCTGCTCAACTCCTTCAAGGCGACCTTCGTGAATCTGTGAAAGTCATCTTCGTCGTTCTTTGATGTTTTCAGCGTTGGGTCACGCCTGCCCTGTACACTGAAGGCCTTCCTCCCTGCCCTTTCCCACGCGTCCACAGGGTACCTTGCGACGAAGTCGCAACCTCTGACCTTGTGCGTCATTGGGAAGGACGCGGGGGTCAGCTCGAAAAGCTCCTCTGGGCTCATATTCTGGGCGGCGTCGAAGAACTGGCAGTGGCACTCTTTGATGGCGTCGTCTAGCTGCTGCGGCGGCCTTCCTGCTACGATTGTTTCCCATGTGTTCCCCACCTTGAACTCCACCACCATCGACGGCCCACTCTTGAACGGGAGGAACGTACACCCGCGCCCGATCTTTGACCACCCCACGCAGTCGACGCCGAACGTGTCCTTCATCTTGTCCACCCACTCTTTCATAAGCACATATTCTGGGTTGCTCTCCTGTGCCTTGACGAGCTGCAACCAGTCCACCTTGCACCAGAACTGCCGCTTGGCTCCCTCTCGAATTGGGGCTGGGGCCTCTCCACCACAACTTGCTTTGGAAGGCAAGCCCGCACGAGCAGGCTACGCCCTTCTTGTCGTCCCAACCTGTGCCCCTCCTGCATACGTTGGACAGCTGCGTGTTGTCGCTCCGCTTGTCCACGAAATCCAACGCCTTGAGGTACGCCGACTGTTGTTTCTCCCATGTGCTTCGCCGTCTTGTAGTCGCCCATCGCGTGTAGTTCTCTTTTTCCTCTAACTGTTGTTTTGCCGCCTTCAGTGCATCTTCGTAGGAAGAGGAGGGAAGAACAGGACTGATGCTGGCGAAGACCGACTGGGGTGCCTCCCCTGGCGGCGGCGGACGGGCGGGGGGCCCGCCCAGGCCGTCTCTGGCGGGAGGACCCGGCGGGCACCCAGCGACGCGCGCGCGCCAAGTCCGCGCCCGGGGCACCGTCGTCCGCCTGGGCATCCGCTGGAAGAAATTATTTAAAAAAAAGCCTGAGTGCAATATCCCCAAACAGGGTTTTTAGACCCACTGCGGTTTCCAAGGTCGATTGCGTGCTCGTCCAGTGCGGGCTGGCATGGCATGTTAAAACATGCCTCCTCCTCCTCCTCCTCCTCCTCCTCCTCCTCCTCCACCTCCTCTTCATCCCGAACGGCATCTCGGAGCCCAGAGTTGCGAGGATGTCTCCAGCGTAACGGGCTGGACCACCTCGCGCGCGGCATTTCGGACCCCAGAGTTGCGACGATGTCTCGGGCGAAACGTGCTGCGAGGAAGTCTCAGGCGAAACGGGCCGGACCACCTCGAGCGCGGCGTTTCAGAGCTCCGAGTTGCGGGGACCTCCTGGGGCCTCCTGGGACTTCCTGGTGACCTCCTGGGGCTTCCTCCTGGGCCTCCTGTGGCCTCCTGGACCCCACCTGGGGCTTCCTGAAGCCTCTTGGTGCTCCCAGGGGGTGATATCTAACGTGTGGCCGTCGGGCCCCCCAAAATGAAAGGAGTGGGGCACAAGAGCAGAAACAATCAACGAATCGACACCGGTTGTGTATTAACTTGACACGTTCTGATAGGGGGCCTCCTGGGGATTCCTGGGAGCCTCCTGGGAATCTCCTGCGGACCCCTGGGGCCTGTCCTGGGCGTCCTGCGGCCTCCTGAAGCTCTCTGGGGCCTCCTGGGGCTCCCAGGGTCCCAGGGGGGATATGTAACATGTGGTCTTCTGGGCCCCCAGGCTGGACCACCTCTTGCGCAGCATCTGAGAGCTCAGAGTTGCGAGAATGTCTTGTGCGAAACGGGCCGGACCACCTTGCGCACGGCATCTCAGAGCTCAGAGTTGCGAGGATGTCAGGCGAGATGGGCCGGACCACCTCGCGCAGGGCATCTCGGAGCCCAGAGTTGCGAGGATGCCTCCAGCGTAACAGGCTGGACCACCTCGCGCGCGGCATTTCGGACCCCAGAGTTGCGACGATGTCTCGGGCGAAACGTGCTGCGAGGAAGTCTCACGCGAAACGGGCCGGACCACCTCGAGCGCGGCGTCTCAGAGCTCCGAGTTGCGGGGGCCTCCTGGGGCCTCCTGGGACCTCCTGGTGCTGGGGCCACAAGAGCAGAAAAAATCAACGAATCGACACCGGTTGTGTATTAACTTGACACGTTCTGATAGGGGGCCTCCTGGGGCCTCCTGGGAGCCTCCTGGGAATCTCCTGCGGACCCCTGGGGCCTGTCCTGGGCGTCCTGCGGCCTCCTGAAGCTCTCTGGGGCCTCCTGGGGCTCCCAGGGGGGATATGTAACATGTGGTCTTCTGGGCCCCCAGGCTGGACAACCTCTTGCGCAGCATCTGAAGGCTCAGAGTTGCGAGAATGTCTTGTGCGAAACGGGCCGGACCACCTTGCGCACGGCATCTCAGAGCTCAGAGTTGCGAGGATGTCAGGCGAGATGGGCTGGACCACCTCGCGCAGGGCATCTCGGAGCCCAGAGTTGCGAGGATGTCTCAGGCGAAACGGGCTGGACCACCTCGCGCGCGGAATCTCGGACCCCAGAGCTGCGACGATGTCTCGGGCGAAACGTGCTGCGAGGAAGTCTCACGCGAAACGGGCCGGACCACCTCGAGCGCGGCGTCTCAGAGCTCCGAGTTGCGGGGGCCTCCTGGAGCCTCCTGGGGCCTCCTGGTGACCTCCTGGGGCTTCCGCCTGGGCCTCCTGTGGCCTCCTGGACGCCACCTGGAGCTTCCTGAAGCCTCTTGGTGCTCCCAGGGGGGGATATCTAACATGTGGCCGTCGGGGCTGCCCAAAATGGGGGGGGGCACAAGAGCAGGAAAAATCAACGAATCGACAGCGGATGTGTATTAACTTGACACGTTCTGATAGAGGGCCTCCTGGGGCCTCCTGGGAGCCTCCTGGAAATCTCCTGTTCCCCCTTGGGGCCTGTCCTGGGCGTCCTGCGGCTTCCTGAAGCTCTCTGGGGCCTCCTGGGGCTCCCAGGGGGGATATGTAACATGTGGTCTTCTGGGCCCCCAGGCTGGACCATCTCTTGCGCAGCATCTGAGAGCTCAGAGTTGCGAGAATGTCTTGTGCGAAACGAGCCCGACCAACTTGCGCACGGCATCTCAGAGCTCAGAGTTGCATCGATGTCCCAGGCGAGACGGGCCAGTGTCTCGGGCGAAACGTGGTGCGAGGAAGTCTCAGGCGAAACGGGCCGGACCACCTCG